ATTTTCTTCTCAAATCATATTTTGTCTGTCTGGAATCCAAAAACCTCACGTTGCCTCATCCAGCACATATATTATGGAGTAAGACTTGGAGACATAATTCAAGAGATAACACTTTCATCATGACTTTTCACGGATTGATCTTCTACCAGGTGATTCACTTTTTGACTTAGAATACGCAGATGATATAGTTCTTTTTGGTGAAGACGCTGACAAAGTGCAGTCTTCTGACAACCTCAAACAACAATGCAAACGTTTTTCAGATGTCGTTCTCTCCCTCCAAATGTAAAATTTTACTTGAGGATTGGCTCGGGTCATTGTCTCAATCAGTGATGGGGTCAGTGAAGTAGTTGAACGCATCGGCCACTTCACTTATCTTGGAATTCTCATCAGTACTGATGATCTGGTGCCTGACAGAATCTCGGCACAGATTCAGAAGGCTCTATTGGTTTTAGGCAACTTGCATCACTTGTGGCGTAGACGAGGTAGCCGTTTTCCAACCAAAGGACGAGTTTACTGCACAGTAGTTGGTCCGTTCCTACTTCATGGATGAGAAACATGGTCATTAAGAATAGAGGATACTCAGAGGTTACTGGTATTCGATCATAAGTGTCTACAAAGCATTGTTCGTGCATGGATTAGGAATAGAGTATTAGGTAATGATTGGGAATCGATTGATCGATGGTTGGGACGTGTTACATGTACCCAGCCAATGCTAACCTCGACGGGCTGTTTTCTGGGGCAGGAGCAGGCTTGGAGGAAGCTGTGTGCGACCACACCAAAACATGGCATCACTACATGAAGTCACTGACAATTAGACTTCGTCATGTTAATAGGTGTAGGCTACCTGGTTTACGGTTCGCATGTGATCTTAACCAATGGTTAGAGATCTTGAATGATATGACTCAAAATCGTCTGCAATAGCATAGGTGCATCCATTCTGAGATCCTAAAATCCTCAACTTTTATTTTGCCAATTTACATTTTCTTCGATACCTAATCTTTCTTATTAACACTGATACTGTTACTATCTCTGTTATTTTAGGATGTGGCAACTTTAACCGATGTGCATACGTGCAGGTTCTACTTTGTGACTGACTGAAAATTGTAAGAGCTAAACTAATTAGAAAGTTCACGATTAAAAGAATATAAACTTCAGTACCTATTATTATTCATTTATATCCTTTTTTATTTATTCCCTTAGAACTTTGTGGTTCATTCGATCTCTTAACATTAACATCAGATCTATTCAATTTATGGTGTATGTCATTGGGAATCTTATCTGGTCAATTATTAGATTTTTTTCAATCCACCAATCTCTCTCATGATATCAGCAACAAATTATGTCATCGAAATACTGAATTTTACATTATTTGCCATTCATTATGTGATTTAGTTTCGTATTTATCCTCAGTCATTTCTTTATATTCAAATAAAAACATTAACCAGATTTGTAATAATGATAACAATAATAATAATGACTGCGATACTGTAAATAGTGATGATATTATCTCTTCATTAAAAACTAATCAATTTATACAATATAGTAAACAATTAACTATTAATTTACTTGATCAATTATCAAATCGTTTGTCGAACAATCTGATCTCTAACTTATTAATAAAATCAAATTCACAATTGAATGTTTCAAATGAATTGAATCGACTGAAACAGACAATTTTATTGGTACAAGATTTAAACAGAACTTAATAATAAATTGATGAAAAAAAACGTTGACTTATGTACAATATTTACTTTCTTCCTAATAAAAAATAATAGAATTTATGAATAAAATAGTCATTGTTTGTGTTATTTAGAGATCTGTCGACTACCTCCAACCAACATCTAATCTCACAATAGTGCCCGCAGTGTCGAGTCACTTAGACTGGTGGCCACATTGCAACATGGTCGATAACATTTGATCTGCACTAATAAGGACTAAACACGCATGACATTGATCACCACCCAGTGATCAATCAACTGTGAGTAGTCGAAAACCTTCAATCTCTTATAGCTATCGTGAGGTGAACTTTTGGAAACTAGATATCGGTTTAATTTGTGATAGTGCTGATTTTATTAGAAGGGCTAAGGTCTCTTCTGGAATAGTAACCGCTCGCACACTTTCTATCAATTCGCTTTTCCGCATGACCTTTGCCCTCTAATTGATTGTCATATTTTTTAGTTCGCTAAATTGCTACATATTCTGTCACTATAGTAAAAACTTTTGTAACAATTTCGTTCTACCACAAGTATCACGTTACCTGCAATCAAATCTTGTTCCTATCATAGCCGTCGAGGTTTGATATGTTGAGTGTAATTGACTGTCGTCAGTCCCGAAGAGAACCTATCGTTTTCGTTTCTAAATCCGTAACAACGTATACGACATACGGTCTAAGTCCGTACTGAACTCAAGTAACAAGACAACAGATATTTCGTAAGTAGACGAAATAACAGTAAGATTCATATATCATGGAAGATTTTCATGAGTGGTTTACAAGATAAGAACCCTCACATGCAGAGGAGAAAATCCATATCGACGTTATTGCGAACGGTTCTAAACTGCATAAATTGTCTTCTAAAACCAGTAATAGTTACCACCTTATAATATTAGCTAGAATCTTCACAAGACTTGTACGTTGGTATAATGATTAGTAATCCACCCCTCATGGAGGAGCGTAGACTGCTCACCAGGATTCTCTATCAAACTGTCTTGGACAATCCTTTCCGGTTGCTAATCATCCTTTTCATGTCTGTTTCCGATTCTCGACGAAGTGTGCTCTTTGATCTTCCTCCTTTCCGTTTCCCTTCACGATCCCAAGTTAGTGCTTATCTCGTGATGCAGTTTGATTTCCTCAATGTGTTTTCATCCACTTCCAACGTCTTTACTTAATTTCCTCCTCAGCATGAAGCTAGTATGTTCTCTCCCATAGTAGGCTGTTGCTGATGGTATCCGGCCAACGGATATTGGACATCTTGCGTAGACAACTGTTTGTAAATACTTGTACCTTGATTGGTTGGGGAAGTTTCCCAAGTTCCAGCTCCATACAGTAGAACTGTCTTGACATTTGTATTAGAAACTCTGACACTGGTGTTGGTGGCAGTTGTTTTGAGTTCCAGATGTTCTTTGATTGTAGATATACTGATCTTGCTTTGCCGATCCGCGCCTTCACATCCTCCACGCTCATCAATGAAGCCGTTCAGGTACGAACAACTTTCCATCTCTTTCAGAGTTTCTCCATCACGTGTGATTGGTTTGTTTGGTGTTCTCGGTGTTGTATTTGAGAATGATTTTTCCCTTGTGTATATTGAGGCCTACTGCTTCTGAGGCTACTACTACACTGGTTGTCTTGACCCCATTTGTTGATGTGCATGGGATAGAAGAGCTAGGTTATCTAAGACGTCCAAATCCTCTCTTTGCATCCAACCTGTCCACTGTATTCCGTGCTTCCCTTCATATGCCGAGGTCTTCGTAATCTAGTCAACCACCGAAAGAAAGGTAGATAGTAGGCAGCCTTGTCTGAGACTTGTCCTCACTTGGAATGCATCTGTCAGCTATCGTCCATGCGACACTTTGTAGTGAAATCCGTCCTATGAATTGTGGATGATGTTGACGACCTTCTCAACTACTCTCCTCAGTGTCGAAGACGGTACCATAAGGTTTTCCTTCCCACTCTGTCAAATAATTTCTCATAATCAAGCAAGTTGTTGTGTGGTGATGAGTTCCATTCAATTGATTGTTCAACGATGCTCCGTAGTGTCGCGGTTTGGTCTTACGCGACCGATATTTACGAAAACTGGACTGTTGATCTCCGGTTCGGTAACACTTTGTTGAGAACTTTTCCTGGTAGCGATCGTTGTGTGGCATTTCTGCATTTTCCACATTTGCTCAGATCTCATTTTTTGGTATCTTGATGAGATATCCTTCTTTCCATTTAGCATCTACTTATTAGTATCAAATTATTATGTTCAATCGAACAATCACATTATTTGTAGACAGTTATCTGATTATCATTTACCCTTATTTATAATATACTTCTTCACATATGACTAGTACTTTCTAGATATCTGATTTCCTTCTTGTCTGTTACTCCAGTTGTCCAGTGCTTCTTTAGGTACATTTTCATCTTAACAACAGCCAAGTGGTGATCTGAAGTTATTTCAGCTCCTCTCCTGTCGCTCTGGTTGTTAGAAGTGGCATCGGCCTCGTAACTTCGGAATAATCTCGGCCTTCATTCTGAAACATTCAACTCGGAAGTCAGAATTTAAATGGTTTAATTTGTTTAATCCGGTTGGTGTCTTTTAGCAAAGTTGTTCTCTACGGGATGGGGTTGCCGACCTCATGCCCAAACGTCCTCCTTTACCCAGGCTCGAGAGTAGCCCTAGAAGAGCTACAGATGGAGTTAATGTTTAGTCATCTGGAGACCGTTTTTTCACCAGCTCCTTATATGAGATAGATTTGTAAAACATGCGAGTCTGTCAATTTGTTCAGTTTATGAGGATCCACAGAACAAACTTTTTATTCAAGTCGTAACGCCGAAATCCTCTACCTGCTTACTTTATAAGAAATACCTTCAGTTTCCTTATCTTTATAGTCCTACGCGTCAGAACGGTGTTCTGTTGTGTAATAGATTTGTATATTGAATTTCAAAATTAAATTGCTGGAAATATCTTTAATGTGTAATATGATATCAGAACCCATGGTCTGAAATCAAGAAATAGGACTACCACCTTCTTTATTAACGAAGTGTAAAGAAATCTTTTCGGAAGTCCACGTTGACTTTATAAGACATGATTACTGAGATACATATTCTTAAAGATAGTTTTGAAGCTAAAGAAACGACATCAGTATTTACAACTAAATATTACGCAGCTTTCTTACAGTGCACAGAAGACATTACTTTTCAAACACAATCTACCACTTCTAAATGACACTTAAAACTTAAATTTCCCTTAATTAGAGGGCACAGGTAGTTTATCCCCATGTAGACAACAAAGAAACTAAAAAGAAAAATGGCATATTATATACTATGTTCAATGTACTGTTGTACAATTTATTTTACCAAACTCAATCAATCACAAGTAAATGATGACGTCGTTCTGTGAAGAAATTGTATTTAAGAACATATAGAAACACTTCATTCATTAAGCAATCTTTAATACGGATATAAAAATAAACACCGAGGCGAGGGGACAAGTTACTTGAGGACAAAATCTAAACCGACTTAAAGAAATCATTATAAGTTTCAAAGTAAATTACTGCAAAAATATTCACACAAAATCTCAGGATAAGTAAAAGATCTGTCAAAATATAGGTTGTTATCGAAATAAATCTATGTCTCCATGGCTACTTGAGTCAATTCACTGTAAACTACTGGTGAATTTTCAGAAATGCAAGTACTATCATTTAAATTTGAATTATTAGGCTCTGTTGTAGGCCTTTCAGGTAACAAAATATGTAAGTAAGGATGTGTTATATTTACTGCACCCATAGCTGAAAGATCTGTATAGATTGCAGCATAGGTTTGATGAAACAATAAACCATCACCTGAGACACGACGACAATCCACAAGAATCGAACCAGCTAATGGATATAACAATACTCGGAAAGCAGTTCCTGGATGCTCCGGAGTTTTGATATCCACCTGTAGATTGAATGTGAAAGTTATATGTATGAATAACACACGATATATATGGAACGAAATACAACCAGTTAGAAGGTTATTTTACAAATTATTCAATAGAACCAACTGGTAGGAAGTGGTCTGTGCAGTAGGATATGACAAAAGCCATACCAGTTAGCGTTCTAAACGGTTAATTAGATTTTAAGTGATATGCTTAAAATTTGCTCCTATTAATGTAGATTAAAAGTAAAAATGACAGCATACACTGAAAGACAAGGTTAAAAGAATAAAGGTTACAAAGAAGAACAACTTATAATGATAGTGAAGTCTGTTATTGGTGAGATCAGAAATATACAAATAAGAAAATGCCAAAAGCTATGTCATACAGATTCTAAATAAATAATGCTAAACAAAGTATACAACATACTTGATGCTATATACACTAATGGTAAAGAGTAATCTCTAACTATGTTTTCCTAGATGACAGTTATATTCATCAAGTATGTCAGCGATAATAGATGCGAAAAATATACGTAATGTACTTAAAGTTTAAATACTCGGGCTGTAGTATTTCAACTCGGTAAAAAAAGTTATATAGATGATTCGACGATAATATAAACTACACTGTAACTACGTAGTGAAATGCACACCATTACTTGTGAATTTTAAAAATCGATGTAGCTTAACCAAATACAGGTTCTTAAAATCGGCTGAAATATAATGCCTATGTGAGAACTCAGCTCGATCTGAAGGTGATGTATGGTTTGGATCTACCACACAGTTGTTGAAATCAGAATACTTTAGGCACTAATCTACTGCACTAATGTCATTTATAATAACTCTTGAAATATTAAATTTAATATAATATTCAAAAAATATCCTAATATAAAACAACAATGGTTGATTTATCTCTATTTTATTTAAAATCAGAATGTTAACAGAGTGGCTAGACGTACAAGTAGGTTATTTGATCCTTTGATTGTTGCCCGCAGATGTCTCCTTTGAACGACGACAGCTCGAATGACCTCCATTGTATGTTCTACTGAGGAGAGTGCTGAAAAGAATCGAGTCATACGGCGCATGAGACAGGAAAAACCAAGCCGATCCTTAACGTAATCAATATCTCCAACCATTTGAGACGCCTGAAATGAGCCAAATACAACAATTCAGTAAACAGATGTTAAATAAAACTGTTGTGCGATTCCGTGTTCTTGATAGTATAAAAATCAATGGCTTATAACACTACTACATTAACACAGCGTATTCACAAGTTGAAGAAAAAACTTACCATTAGCATACTGTCAATATCAGCCGGTTGAGATAAGTGATTATTTACAATAGAATCTAATTGAGCATGACAAACTGGCGTAGGCTGAGATGAAGGTACTGAACAATAAATAATGAAATAAAGAACAAAATAAGCCAATGGTTTTAATGATAAACATCATACCTCACAAGTAACACTAAAACAGTAATAATAACTACTGATAATCCCAAGGCCAATAAACGGACAAATGATTGGCTTACGAAAACAAGAGAATTACAAATTCAGAAATCAAAATAATAATACAATTGATTAAAGTACGTGTAAAAGCAAGGAAGATATGTGAACTACATGTAAGAATGTTAAGTTATTCATCTATCAAGTGCGAGGTTCGTATACTCGGCAATTTTGAATCACATTGGTTGTGTGAAAGTTATTAATACTACTATCCAGCTACTAAAATCGAGATGTCATCACCAATCAGTTTCCAAACAGAAAATTTTCCAGCTACCTTAAGGATTATTAATATTGATATTTAGCAAAAACCTGACCAAAAAATTATGCACAAACCTGGTGCATCTCCTTGATAAGTGCTGCGCGAAGTATTGGTACGGTCGCTGCTTGGTACGACAGTATTTAAAGATACACCTGAGTCTTGTCTGCTTCTCGGTGACGCGACAGGAGTTAGACGTCGGGCAAGACCAAGACGATACCAAGGATGGTTTTTAATGCATTCAATAGTAAGACGATCGGAAGGACGATGAGCCAAGGCTCGTGTGAGAAAGTTGGCTAAGTCAGGAGGAAGTCGGGAAAACACAGGACCTGTGTGTAAATCTTTATGTTCGGTCCACTGGCGATATACAGGATCGGATGCATAACTGGCACGTGACCAACAACGTTGACCAGTGACAGCTGTGAGAAGTGTAACACCAAGTGAAAATAGGTCAGCAGGTGGTCCAAAGTAGGGACTAGATAAAGGAAAGTTTTTGAAACAGTGATATTTACGGGGAATATCCAACAACAGAAAACAATTTAATCGCTAAAAAATCTTTTTGTTTGTAAATAAATTCATATTAGTCAAAAGCATCTAACAATAAATAACACTTTGCAACGAATAAATCTATTAATGCTTCGTTATTACACATATATCAGTGAGAATATTTAATTCTCTAGTTCTGCATATGTAGAACAGCGACTAAGGAAAGAAGAAATAACGCAAATTCTCTGTTTGTTTTCCACAACGGGATACACTAGGAACTCTCTCAAGACAGAAAAAGTTTGCTTTGTGTTCCCTTATAACTGTTTACTATAGGCGAAGCACTTTTAAAATAAAAATCTGCAGTCTCACAAACGAAAACATCTGATAGTCGTATATCCGACTGAAAATAGTTTTTTTTCAGACAATAGTACAGCATTTGTCTACTTCTTAAATTAACTTCTATTCTAACAAGTGAAAATTAGATTACAACAGACAGCTCCAATTGTTTCTGACTCTTACGGTACTAAGTAATTGTAGGCATCACTCGGAAGTGACATGTTGACATTGTATTCGAAAAACCGGATAGGAAATGAAGAATTGGAGAAATTCATGCAATATTAAAAGGTAGTACAAAGGTATCTTTTTATACGAAAACCTGTTATCGATGAACATAGTTATAATGATTAGTAAAATATGCAATTACTTTTTTCCAAAAACTTCAGGTGCAGCATAACTTGTTGTTCCAACTGCTCCTTGAATAAGTTTTTGCTTTCGTAGATCTACAGCCCATCCAAAATCAATCAGTTTAGCTCTATCCTTCTTTGTGAGCATAATATTCTCCGGTTTCACATCTAAATGTGCTATTTGTTGATCATTATGAAGATAATTCAACGCATCTAAAATCTGTGTACAAAAAGAAACAACCTTGTGGTTATTGACGTTGAATAGTAAAGTAGTCTTTTTTATGAGATAGATTTATTTTAGGCTTTTATTATATATGAAAACAACGATTAGGATTTGGCTTGAACGTCGGAGTCGTGCGCTTCAATCTCACTATACTTTCCAAATCGTAAACTGTACTTACCAGTCAATTTCTAAAATTAGACGTAGATTATTAGTACTTATGTTTCAATATTAAGTAGATTTCATCTTTAAACATTAAGAATCTCCTACTGTCAAAGAAAAAAACCCATAATAACCATGACCAGTAGTAAACATACCCGACTGAACTGTTTCTCAAGGAAAATGATAATTTAAAGTAATAAGCATAAAAAACTAAATTCATGATTTCATCTACAAATATTTTGGTCAGTTTACGACAATGTAAACCATAGAAACAAAGAAAAAGTTGAAAAGTAAAATTACAAAGTAACATTTAATGAATGATTATTTATCCATGCTTCTGATAGGTATTCATTGGATTGTTCGTTATAATTATGCGAGTTCTATATGTATGCACCGCTATCAAGTATACTAAATATATATCGTTTTTTTAATGACAACACAGTCTGAACAGTTTAGAATTAAACAGTGTCATGTCTACTATCTACCATAAATAAAATGCATCCAATATACAAAATATTAGTTACTAAAAATAGAATATTCACGTATTCAAATACCTGCGCATAGTATATAAACATCTGTTGAACGTGTAATCCTATACCAATTGGAATACGCTCAAACAATTCGCCACCAGGCAATAATTCCATAAACATAAATGTGAATGTAGGAGTATTTCTGTAAGATTAAAAACATTATATATATATATATATATATATATATATATATATATATATATCTGAAATATTAGTATATTACTGTTAACGCATAGAACAAATTAAAATACGCCACAGTAACATTTAAACAGATCCGTCAAGTCATACATCATCAGGATTTGCATAAGTTTCCTGTCGATATTAACAAACATACTTGACCGAGTAAATAGTTATTGAACCATTGAATTAAAAATAATTGAAAAGATTTAGGAACTTAGCAGATTGAGACATTTTTCCCCATGTTTTAAAGACAAGTAGGAACCCATTAAGAAACGTTAAATGTACGGAAAACGATATTTCAACGTGCTAAAACTAATATGACATTTATCATGTACGGAGAAAGATAAAGGATAAATCCATTAGACGTTACTGCGAATCGAATACAAACACACATAACTCAACTGTTGTGGCCTAGATCCATTTATTTGTTTTATTCCCTTAAGCCTTTGAAACGGTATTATTCTAATTCTTTCACTTCTTGATTTCACTCACTATTTTAACATTATCTTCGGACTTTTCACAACTGCGGGTATCATTATTGTCATTAATGTTATTGAATTTTGATAAATTAATCAAGTGGTTAAGTTGATTTGATAAGATTTTGTGTTAGATATGCGTATTTCTGTTAAGCACATATTGTTTTTGAAATTATGTAAATCACCTAATAAAAATCTTTTAAGCAGTTGTTCGGTTGATTCTTAATCACGGCTTATAGCTACTACACATATATTTTTTCGGAGGAAACAACAAACGGAGACGATTAGTATAAGTCGAAAACTAAACAGAACCCAACTTTTAATGGATCAGTGTAAAAAACGTTCTTTAAATATCTTCCGAAGGATGTTTATCTAACTTTTAAGAGACTGTTTTTGAAATGCAGTCCACATATAAAGGCAATATGAAAACATTTTCTAGCAAAATAAAACTTAATCCTGAGTTCATTTTATAATATATATTGAAAAACAAACATTCGTTAATGAAACAATGTCTACCTGATTCCATATAAAGTGGCAATATTATGGTGTTTTAAGCGTCTTTGTAACTCAGCTTCTTGGCGAAGTTCTGCCCTAACTTGTGCTACATTAACTCCAGTTTTTGCATTACTACGAAGACTGCTTTGACCATATACGTTGACTACTTTTGCTGCTAAACAATCCTTAGTATCAGGATTGACAATTAAATATACTCGACCAATTCCACCTTCTGCAAGGCAGTGTGATATTTGGTATCCTGGAGGCAGGATAGGTTGTGCTTCAGCTTTTATTGACTAAAATATTTAGAAACAGTAAAAAATGGATATTTAAAAACGACAATATAACAGATGACATATTAAGGGTCTACAGTATAGATCGAATAGTAGAAATATGAACTGATAAAACGGGTTCTGCCACGATACAAAATATTCTCAATCATGTAGAAATATCCAAGGCTTGTGTGAAAAGAAGTATGTTACGAATCAACCTCTGCTCAGGGATATGCGTTCCAGTTAAAAGACGGAATAACAATAGGATAATTTCATTCTAAATTAACTGGAGGTTGAGCTGAGTTTCTTCAAGTTTTTGTTTACTTTAGCTTAACCATGATCTAGTTTTTCGTAGAGGTCATAAAGAGCAAGAAATTAGTTCAGTATCAATGGTTTACTAATCGGAAACACAATAAAGAAACGTTGTAGTAAATTGAGAGATCCTCCAATCCAACCTGTCTCAACACTAAAGCATCGATTCTCCAGGCAAACCCCAAGCCAACTTTATTGATATGTTGTTGCTCCATCAATTCACAAAATTATGATTCACCTATAGCACGATTTAAAACAGTCATTTGGATTCGATAAACATATTTATACTGTATGATTAACTGTTCCTAGCTGAGAATGCTTGAGGAATTCACATATTATTGCTATCTCCATAGTGCTGCTTGTATTTTTCGGTTACACTAAATGATCAGAAAGTTTGATAGTATTTAAACACACAGGAAGTTTTCGTACAATTAGGAAATATGAATACGCTTGATCTACATCATTTCAGGGGTGTTAACTTGGACCGGTGCATGTCTGTGCCGTGTTCTACGTTTATTATGACCATTAGGACTAGAAGTGAACCATAAAGAAAGGAATTGTGAGAACATGACGATAAAGTGCCGTATCATAAAACATTTGTGCTAGCATCTATAGGTAAATTACTAATACTACCGTGGTTTTCTACAGATTACGTGGCTCATTGAGTCACAATGTTTATATATGAGGAGTCTGGATTGAAACCTGTGACGATCTGTCAATTGAAAGAAAAGTACTAATTCTAAATTCTTGCAAAGACTAGCTTTCACAACCTGACAATATTTGTAAAGTTAAAAGATATGACATATAAAAAAAAACACTGAAGAAATTGGCGTGGAGCACCATTTAATTTACGTACCAACACGTGAAGTATTTGTCAATCATACGAGTAACTGTACACATTTGATTTAGTTTTTACTCACCTTCTGAATGGATGTTTCCTCTGAGTCTTCCGAGTTCGTTATCACATCAGAATTTCCTATGCTCAGTTGGGTAATATCTTGGAGATCAATGGACTGCACAGAGTTGCTTAACTCGTCAGCATACATAACACTGCAAACCAGTAACAAAGGGATATCGTATGTAAAGAAGAATTTAGTAGTTATTGGTATCCTAAAGTAACTACTGCTAAGTGCATATAATGAGGCCCATTGAAGTTTGATATAACTACAAAGCACAAATGAAATTAAAAACTAGACATTCAAACTTGAACAGTCTTACGGATACCCTGAAAAATTTAAATATAGGATTTGCTGTGATAATGACAAAAGTATTTTATTATAACTACAGTATACAGGAAGTTGGAAATACATCTACAAGATTCTTTATGCAAGCACATTTTAGCGGAAATACATTTTGTTTTGAATCCGAGTTATACGAGGATGGTTTATGTATAGATCACTGGCTAAACGATTGCAGTGACATGAACGGCAAGTGAGATGTCTGGTACATTTGATGGTAAGCTTGAATGTACACTGACTAACTTGTAATATTACATAAAGGACCACAGATCCAAGCTATTGTTTTTCCACAGGTTAGTGGAAATGTCACTGGAGGTACCTACTAGACTCTTGTCTTCAGATCGACCATGTTAAAACGATGGCCGGGGACCCAAAATCGTTAAGATAGATCAAAACGACTTCCAGGACACTATAAAACTACCCTATTTTTGTTCCCACTAGCTCTCATCATTCCATGCAGGCTCACCTGTAAAAAAGTACCCAATCATTTTATTTTCTGACTTTTAGTCTAAAACATCTGTGGACAAATACTTCACTAAAAAGTCAACAATCAGCAATGTGGCTTAAAAGCCTATGTGAAATAACATTTCTTAAAGCCAAACTTCTTTCCGCAAGCATTATTTAACAGTCACTTCACTTAAAAGTTCGTAGTAGACTTCGGTACGAGAAAATCCGTTCGAATAAAGAGCCTTTAATAGTGTGATATACTTGTTAATTATCTCGCCCCCAAATGCCCTGGTATGGCCGAGAGGGGGTGGGTTCTACCTCCCTCTCGAAATACTCTCACACAGCCAAGCGTATACAGCCTCTGCCAGGGAAGTCCTACTCACTGCCTTCTCGTGGCGGGGGTGTTTTTGACGAAAATGAGAGGACGAAAAGCGAATGTCCGGCGCTTTAACCGGATCCCAAATCAATGGTGCACATGGGCTCCAGTATCCTATGGGAACAAATGGCGTATGAACCAATTTCTTGGTCACCGGCTTCCATGGGACTGCATCTCCTCACGATGCTCCACTGCCTCGTGGGTTAGACCTTTAGGTCGATGGCTCGGGGTGTGGCCCCCCAAGAAGACCACCTGCTTCGGTCTGAGCACCCGGGCAGTATCTCAGCCTACACACAAAAGTGTGGCGCATATATATTTAGTGCCCCCTTGTACCAATATTTATGTGTTTAAATAAATAAAATTATGTGTTAATTATCTCTTCTCTAAAACATTATGTTATCATGGAATCCGGAATGACAGTCAAACATTCATTTACACATGAAGTACTTTTTATAAAGTAATTTGTTTAGGTATGAATTGAGATGATATTCGCGGACGAGTTATTGTGAGACTTTTACAAGATTCACGTTTCATCCAGAAAAACACCTGCTGACATATCAAGACAAATCTTTTGTTGTCTAACTAAACTCGTTAACCTGATACTTCACTATGGAAAATTCTTTTAAGAGTCAATATATTTGATGCTTAGTGATTTATTGCTGTTTCACGAGAATCTACGAAAAAAACTATGGAGATTGATCTGCAATAATAGCAAAGAGTATCGAGTACTCTAACCACACTAAAAATGTCACTGGCCTGAATGAATTTTTACTAATTTTAAACCCGAGGATAATCAACTTTTACCAAGTTTCACAGACAGGGAATTGTATACTTTATTAGCAGGTTTTCAAGTAATGACATGAAAGTTTATATTATCTACTTCAAAACCTCGTCCTGTTACCAGATATAAACATGGCAACCTGAAAGTATTGCCACTGTCTGTGAAAATCTACTACAAAATGTTATAATCGACCTTGGATATTGTGGTTGCACCTCAAAAGTTTTAGGGAAATCTAATTCTGTATCACGAATCCTTCAGTCAGTCTTCAGTAATAAGGATAGTAGGTTAGTGAACCTGTGTTAATCCTAACAGGTTGGCTTTCAGTGAAGGCCCAGTTTCTCTTTGAAAATATTCACTGATGGGGCTGATACCACTTGATCGGGCAAAGCGTTCCAATCATTGACTAATCGATGAGAAAAACGGAACCCCACCTTGAGTTTATTAGATCGTGGTTTATGAGCCTTCTTGCTATGACCTCGGAGATTATTAGTGCTGGAGGGAGCAAAAAGATAAGACATATTAACACCCAAATCATAATTAAAGATACGAAATGCCAGTATAAGGTCACCTCGAGTCCTACGATACGACAAGGGGAAAAGGTTTAAGCGTTTTAAACGCTCATCGTAAGGGAGTTTAGAAAGACCCTTCACTAATTTCGTTCCCACACGCTGGACACGCTCAAGTGAGGTAGTATCCTTTATCAGACATGGGCTAGCTGCTTGAATACAGTACTCTAAATGTGGTCTTACATAGGTGGGATATAAAATTCGAAACATTTCCTCGTCAAAGGATTTGAATGCTCGGCGAAGTGACCATAACGCACGAAAACCTTTGACAGCGGCTGCGTTGCAGTGCGCAGTTGTTTTTAAATCATGACTTATTATTACTCCTAAGTCTTTATGTTCTTGAACGCATGGAAGAGGTTTGCCATCAATAGTATAATGGTAATTATTGCCGTGACCGATGTGCATTAGCACACTCTTCCTAGAATTGATTTCTAAACCCCAATCTCGAGCCCATCTAACTAAATCGTCTAAGTCAGCTTGAAGATCCAGATGATCAGCCTCACCTCTTATTGCTCTCCATATTTTGACATCATCCGCAAATAATAATGTCGACGACCTAAGCAACAGCGGTAATTCATTTACGTAGAGAAGGAATAGCCGAGGGCCTAATATGGTGCCTTGGGGTACACCACTTTTGACCGGCTTCCAATCGGATAGCGTCCCATTGACCCTCACTCTCTGTCTGCGGTCACGTAAGAAGTTTCCTATCCACTCCTGTACAGTACCTATTATTCCGAAGCTTGTGAGCTTCTGCATAAGACCTGAGTGTGAAACCTTGTCAAATGCTTTGCTAAAATCTATGAATATAACATCGACAGACAGACCTTTATCTAAGGCTGCTGTCCAATCCTCTCTCGCAATAAGTAAGTTAGTCAAGCATGAACGCTTATCACGAAATCCATGTTGCTCAGGAGCTAACAGATTGTGTGAATCTATGTGGCTTAGCAACCTAACCCGAATTATCTTTTCAAGTAACTTAACGACAATGCTAGTCAGACTGACAGGTCGGTAGTTAGATACGATGTGTCTCTGACCATCCTTAAATATAGGACTGACAATAGCATCTTTCCAATCCCTAGGTAGTTGAGCGAGTGAAAGGGACATGTTAAAGAGTATCGTGAGCGGTTTTGAAATAATGTCTGCAAGAGATGACAGCAATCGTGGATGTAACCCGTCAGAACCCGGTATCTTACAAGGTTTGAGGTTAATTATCAACGGAAGGACAGTTTCTTCAGTCACCTGTATAGATTCAATGGCTGGTATCACGGCGTAATTGGGACAAGTATTTGTTACAATAAACGTAGAGTAGACTTCGCTAAAGTAGTTTGAAAATGTCTCAGCTTTTGCTCGATCTGATTCAGCTAGTAAACCTGAATTATCGTGTAACAATAATGGGGGAATACTATCACTACGTTTTATTTGCCGTTTAACATACGAAAACAATCGTTTTGGACAAGTACGGCTATCATATACCAACTGTCGTTCGTAAGTAATACGGGATTTAGCTATTGTTTTCTTACAAATATTCCGGAGTTTTTGGTACTCACGCTTAAAAGATGCATGACCTGTCAACAAGAATAAGTCCCAGAAGTGTTTCCTACGCTTTAACAGCTTACGGGTTTCCTTATTAATCTATGGAGGGCAGTGCGATAGCTTACGTGCTGACCATGGGATAAACGGCGACGTTACGGACTCGAATGTAGCCTTAAACTTAATCCATTCGTCTTCGATCGATCCATCTGCGTCAACCGACCAATCAGTAGAGATCGCACAGTCTCTGATTGCCGGAATATTAGCCCGCCAGATATTGGGACGGGGTGGAGCAGATACAAATCGTATACCATGTGTCCTAAACTTAAAGTGAAGTACAACGTGATCACTGTTCACTAGTGGAGGAAGGTGCTGAATATCAAAGACGTCCTCACAGTGGTGGATGAGGGCGAGGTCCAGCAGTGACGGATCACGTTTCAGATCAATATGTGTCGGTTCAGTGATACATTGGACAAGTGCACACTGAATAACTGTTGATAAAAGTTCGCTATCAAAACCTCCACCTGGAGCTGTAGGCTCTATCCAGTTTATGTTCGGAGCGTTGAAGTCCCCAGTGATGAGGCAACATTCTGCCATACTCCAAGAACAGATGTGTCTTAAGATAAAGTCGTCAGCAAGACAACACGGACTACGGTATATTCCGCCTATAGTCACTAACCCATTTCTAGATTTAATCTTACAACATGCTACCTCACATGTTCCACTAACATGAGCCTCCGATATGATTGATTGTATACGAAAGTGGTCCCTAATGTATAACATTATGCCTCCCCCCTTGCGGCTTAAAACTCTATCACTTCTAATACAGATATAGCCTGCAATGATGGGAGAACATTCTATCTCTACGGTGAACCAAGTTTCTGTAATGACAATTATATCGGGACTTAATTCATCCACCATCAGACTTAGCTCGGACGTTTTATTCCTAAGACTACGGGCGTTCGTGTAGCACACACTTAAGGTGTTATGGTAATCGTTCGTTCTACCCATACAGGCCTCGGAAGCATTGGCTTCCAAGACCTGACTACCCGAAAACCCTTAATGGTAAGGTTAGTTTCGCCATTTAACTTGCGAGTTCTTAACTCCGTAAGAGCATTCTTCCACTTGATTCGATCCTCAAGCGGCCAATCTGGTCGGATACGAATATTTGAATGACGAATTTTTTGTGCGTTTTTCAATAATATATCTCGTTCTTCAAAACTCCCTAGAACCAGCTTCAAGATCCTTCTTGGTTGGGTCTCGCCTCCAACCCATTTACCGAGTCGTATCACTTTCGTGATATGTACTCCTGAAACCTCTTCAGGTAGTACGTTTCTTACCACGGATTCTACTAACTTCAGATCATGTGCATGTCTCTTAGCAGGATCGTTGTCTATCGACTCCTCTAGATTCCAAATAATTAAGCTAGGGAGTGGTTTAGTTTCTTTAGGAATCGTGTTTACGGCTATCAATCGTGACCTAACATCCTGTATATTAACTACTGGTATCTTACGATTAGTTTTTATTGTAACAGAGTCATTGGAGTCGAGCGAGTGACTCACAACAATGTTTGACGAGGCTTTACTTTGGGACTTTGGCGGAGTGGTCTGAGAGTCCACCAAAGACTTATCAAGTAAACAGTCCTTACTTTTAGCTGTCTTTCCTACTCTTCTGCGTTTACACTTCATCCATATTCCGTCAGCCGTAGCATCTACATTGGAACTGCTCGGGACAATAATTGTTTTATCTGGATCACCAGTTGCTGCTGTAGCAACATGGCCACCAATATCTAATGAGGTGTCACTCATTGATTGTTTCGAGGTAAAAATTTTGATTTCGGGTTGCGCAGTTAGATGTCTGACTTGCGCCGTGACAGCACT